AGGTCTGGCGCGACTGGAAGGCGGCGCGGTGCGAGGAGAGCGACGAGAGCGGGCCTCGCGTGCTCACGTGTGTGTGAGTGAGACAGAGAGTGCGGTACCGTGCGGCGGCTAGCGGCGGCTAGCGGCGGAAGGTCTGGCGCGACTGGAAGGCGGCGCGGTGCGAGGAGAGCGACGAGAGCGGGCCTCGCGTGCTCACGTGTGTGTGAGTGAGACAGAGAGTGCGGTACCGTGCGGCGGCTAGCGGCGGCTAGCGGCGGAAGGTCTGGCGCGACTGGAAGGCGGCGCGGTGCGAGGAGAGCGACGAGAGCGGGCCTCGCGTGCTCACGTGTGTGTGAGTGAGACAGAGAGTGCGGTACCGTGCGGCGGCTAGCGGCGGCTAGCGGCGGAAGGTCTGGCGCGACTGGAAGGCGGCGCGGTGCGAGGAGAGCGACGAGAGCGGGCCTCGCGTGCTCACGTGTGTGTGAGTGAGACAGAGAGTGCGGTACCGTGCGGCGGCTAGCGGCGGCTAGCGGCGGAAGGTCTGGCGCGACTGGAAGGCGGCGCGGTGCGAGGAGAGCGACGAGAGCGGGCCTCGCGTGCTCACGTGTGTGTGAGTGAGACAGAGAGTGCGGTGGCTAGCGGCGGCTAGCGGCGGAAGGTCTGGCGCGACTGGAAGGCGGCGCGGTGCGAGGAGAGCGACGAGAGCGGGCCTCGCGTGCTCACGTGTGTGTGAGTGAGACAGAGAGTGCGGTACCGTGCGGCGGCTAGCGGCGGCTAGCGGCGGAAGGTCTGGCGCGACTGGAAGGCGGCGCGGTGCGAGGAGAGCGACGAGAGCGGGCCTCGCGTGCTCACGTGTGTGTGAGTGAGACAGAGAGTGCGGTACCGTGCGGCGGCTAGCGGCGGCTAGCGGCGGAAGGTCTGGCGCGACTGGAAGGCGGCGCGGTGCGAGGAGAGCGACGAGAGCGGGCCTCGCGTGCTCACGTGTGTGTGAGTGAGACAGAGAGTGCGGTACCGTGCGGCGGCTAGCGGCGGCTAGCGGCGGAAGGTCTGGCGCGACTGGAAGGCGGCGCGGTGCGAGGAGAGCGACGAGAGCGGGCCTCGCGTGCTCACGTGTGTGTGAGTGAGACAGAGAGTGCGGTACCGTGCGGCGGCTAGCGGCCGCTAGCGGCGGAAGGTCTGGCGCGACTGGAAGGCGGCGCGGTGCGAGGAGAGCGACGAGAGCGGGCCTCGCGTGCTCACGTGTGTGTGAGTGAGACAGAGAGTGCGGTACCGTGCGGCGGCTAGCGGCGGCTAGCGGCGGAAGGTCTGGCGCGACTGGAAGGCGGCGCGGTGCGAGGAGAGCGACGAGAGCGGGCCTCGCGTGCTCACGTGTGTGTGAGTGAGACAGAGAGTGCGGTACCGTGCGGCGGCTAGCGGCGGCTAGCGGCGGAAGGTCTGGCGCGACTGGAAGGCGGCGCGGTGCGAGGAGAGCGACGAGAGCGGGCCTCGCGTGCTCACGTGTGTGTGAGTGAGACAGAGAGTGCGGTACCGTGCGGCGGCTAGCGGCCGCTAGCGGCGGAAGGTCTGGCGCGACTGGAAGGCGGCGCGGTGCGAGGAGAGCGACGAGAGCGGGCCTCGCGTGCTCACGTGTGTGTGAGTGAGACAGAGAGTGCGGTACCGTGCAGCGGCTAGCGGCGGCTAGCGGCGGAAGGTCTGGCGCGACTGGAAGGCGGCGCGGTGCGAGGAAAGCGACGAGAGCGGGCCTCGCGTGCTCACGTGTGTGTGAGTGAGACAGAGAGTGCGGTACCGTGCGGCGGCTAGCGGCGGCTAGCGGCGGAAGGTCTGGCGCGACTGGAAGGCGGCGCGGTGCGAGGAGAGCGACGAGAGCGGGCCTCGCGTGCTCACGTGTGTGTGAGTGAGACAGAGAGTGCGGTACCGTGCGGCGGCTAGCGGCGGAAGGTCTGGCGCGACTGGAAGGCGGCGCGGTGCGAGGAGAGCGACGAGAGCGGGCCTCGCGTGCTCACGTGTGTGTGAGTGAGACAGAGAGTGCGGTACCGTGCGGCGGCTAGCGGCCGCTAGCGGCGGAAGGTCTGGCGCGACTGGAAGGCGGCGCGGTGCGAGGAGAGCGACGAGAGCGGGCCTCGCGTGCTCACGTGTGTGTGAGTGAGACAGAGAGTGCGGTACCGTGCGGCGGCTAGCGGCGGCTAGCGGCGGAAGGTCTGGCGCGACTGGAAGGCGGCGCGGTGCGAGGAGAGCGACGAGAGCGGGCCTCGCGTGCTCACGTGTGTGTGAGTGAGACAGAGAGTGCGGTACCGTGCGGCGGCTAGCGGCGGCTAGCGGCGGAAGGTCTGGCGCGACTGGAAGGCGGCGCGGTGCGAGGAGAGCGACGAGAGCGGGCCTCGCGTGCTCACGTGTGTGTGAGTGAGACAGAGAGTGCGGTACCGTGCGGCGGCTAGCGGCCGCTAGCGGCGGAAGGTCTGGCGCGACTGGAAGGCGGCGCGGTGCGAGGAGAGCGACGAGAGCGGGCCTCGCGTGCTCACGTGTGTGTGAGTGAGACAGAGAGTGCGGTACCGTGCGGCGGCTAGCGGCGGCTAGCGGCGGAAGGTCTGGCGCGACTGGAAGGCGGCGCGGTGCGAGGAGAGCGACGAGAGCGGGCCTCGCGTGCTCACGTGTGTGTGAGTGAGACAGAGAGTGCGGTACCGTGCGGCGGCTAGCGGCCGCTAGCGGCGGAAGGTCTGGCGCGACTGGAAGGCGGCGCGGTGCGAGGAGAGCGACGAGAGCGGGCCTCGCGTGCTCACGTGTGTGTGAGTGAGACAGAGAGTGCGGTACCGTGCGGCGGCTAGCGGCGGCTAGCGGCGGAAGGTCTGGCGCGACTGGAAGGCGGCGCGGTGCGAGGAGAGCGACGAGAGCGGGCCTCGCGTGCTCACGTGTGTGTGAGTGAGACAGAGAGTGCGGTACCGTGCGGCGGCTAGCGGCCGCTAGCGGCGGAAGGTCTGGCGCGACTGGAAGGCGGCGCGGTGCGAGGAGAGCGACGAGAGCGGGCCTCGCGTGCTCACGTGTGTGTGAGTGAGACAGAGAGTGCGGTACCGTGCGGCGGCTAGCGGCGGCTAGCGGCGGAAGGTCTGGCGCGACTGGAAGGCGGCGCGGTGCGAGGAGAGCGACGAGAGCGGGCCTCGCGTGCTCACGTGTGTGTGAGTGAGACAGAGAGTGCGGTACCGTGCGGCGGCTAGCGGCCGCTAGCGGCGGAAGGTCTGGCGCGACTGGAAGGCGGCGCGGTGCGAGGAGAGCGACGAGAGCGGGCCTCGCGTGCTCACGTGTGTGTGAGTGAGACAGAGAGTGCGGTACCGTGCGGCGGCTAGCGGCCGCTAGCGGCGGAAGGTCTGGCGCGACTGGAAGGCGGCGCGGTGCGAGGAGAGCGACGAGAGCGGGCCTCGCGTGCTCACGTGTGTGTGAGTGAGACAGAGAGTGCGGTACCGTGCGGCGGCTAGCGGCCGCTAGCGGCGGAAGGTCTGGCGCGACTGGAAGGCGGCGCGGTGCGAGGAGAGCGACGAGAGCGGGCCTCGCGTGCTCACGTGTGTGTGAGTGAGACAGAGAGTGCGGTACCGTGCGGCGGCTAGCGGCCGCTAGCGGCGGAAGGTCTGGCGCGACTGGAAGGCGGCGCGGTGCGAGGAGAGCGACGAGAGCGGGCCTCGCGTGCTCACGTGTGTGTGAGTGAGACAGAGAGTGCGGTACCGTGCGGCGGCTAGCGGCCGCTAGCGGCGGAAGGTCTGGCGCGACTGGAAGGCGGCGCGGTGCGAGGAGAGCGACGAGAGCGGGCCTCGCGTGCTCACGTGTGTGTGAGTGAGACAGAGAGTGCGGTACCGTGCGGCGGCTAGCGGCCGCTAGCGGCGGAAGGTCTGGCGCGACTGGAAGGCGGCGCGGTGCGAGGAGAGCGACGAGAGCGGGCCTCGCGTGCTCACGTGTGTGTGAGTGAGACAGAGAGTGCGGTACCGTGCGGCGGCTAGCGGCCGCTAGCGGCGGAAGGTCTGGCGCGACTGGAAGGCGGCGCGGTGCGAGGAGAGCGACGAGAGCGGGCCTCGCGTGCTCACGTGTGTGTGAGTGAGACAGAGAGTGCGGTACCGTGCGGCGGCTAGCGGCCGCTAGCGGCGGAAGGTCTGGCGCGACTGGAAGGCGGCGCGGTGCGAGGAGAGCGACGAGAGCGGGCCTCGCGTGCTCACGTGTGTGTGAGTGAGACAGAGAGTGCGGTACCGTGCGGCGGCTAGCGGCCGCTAGCGGCGGAAGGTCTGGCGCGACTGGAAGGCGGCGCGGTGCGAGGAGAGCGACGAGAGCGGGCCTCGCGTGCTCACGTGTGTGTGAGTGAGACAGAGAGTGCGGTACCGTGCGGCGGCTAGCGGCCGCTAGCGGCGGAAGGTCTGGCGCGACTGGAAGGCGGCGCGGTGCGAGGAGAGCGACGAGAGCGGGCCTCGCGTGCTCACGTGTGTGTGAGTGAGACAGAGAGTGCGGTACCGTGCGGCGGCTAGCGGCGGCTAGCGGCGGAAGGTCTGGCGCGACTGGAAGGCGGCGCGGTGCGAGGAGAGCGACGAGAGCGGGCCTCGCGTGCTCACGTGTGTGTGAGTGAGACAGAGAGTGCGGTACCGTGCGGCGGCTAGCGGCCGCTAGCGGCGGAAGGTCTGGCGCGACTGGAAGGCGGCGCGGTGCGAGGAGAGCGACGAGAGCGGGCCTCGCGTGCTCACGTGTGTGTGAGTGAGACAGAGAGTGCGGTACCGTGCGGCGGCTAGCGGCCGCTAGCGGCGGAAGGTCTGGCGCGACTGGAAGGCGGCGCGGTGCGAGGAGAGCGACGAGAGCGGGCCTCGCGTGCTCACGTGTGTGTGAGTGAGACAGAGAGTGCGGTACCGTGCGGCGGCTAGCGGCGGCTAGCGGCGGAAGGTCTGGCGCGACTGGAAGGCGGCGCGGTGCGAGGAGAGCGACGAGAGCGGGCCTCGCGTGCTCACGTGTGTGTGAGTGAGACAGAGAGTGCGGTACCGTGCGGCGGCTAGCGGCCGCTAGCGGCGGAAGGTCTGGCGCGACTGGAAGGCGGCGCGGTGCGAGGAGAGCGGGCGGCGGCGCGGGGCTTCTCGTCCCCGCGTCTTCTTCTCCTCCACGTTCAGCTTCACACCCGTACCCTCCGGGCTATCCGCGGGGAAGTACAGTGGCTGCGGACACGAAATAAATAAATTACTACGTATGTAACGTCATATATATCAATTATGTATGTCACATTGCTGGACAGAAGCCCCTTCACACTTTTAACTTGACTAGTTAAATTCCGTCTAACCATTTGTTTTAATCAGAAGCACGCATATGAATTTGTATTAATTATTGGCTGGCAACCATGGACAAAAAAATTAATACTTCATGAACGTTGTTTTCTCCTAATAATAGTAAAGCGACGTGCTTCAATTTAGTGAAGCAATGTTCATTTCCTCCGATATCGATATTAAGACACCACAGATTATGGTAACGTAGATTATTCAAATTGATTTCGCCATGAAAAAATATGGCAGTGTAAATTAAATATCTTCATTTTATGTATTACATTCAGACAAATGAGTCCATTGAACTGATTGCAATGTGTCAGTAGAGGGGCACTGTAACACTGGGGCACTGGGGCACTGACCGCTGCGTTGAGACACTCGTCTTTAACCGATGATGAAGCCGTGGATGTGTTAGCCGCAAGCGCTAATTCATTGAACTGACTGCAACGTGTCGGGAGGGGGAGGTGGAGGGGGAGAGGGCACTGGGGCACGGGGACACTGACCGCTGCGTTGAGGCACTCGTGCGCGGCCTGCGCGGTCTCGTAGGTGATGAAGCCGTAGTTGGGGTGGCGCGGCGCGCCGGGCGCGGCGGGCTTGCTGTGCACGCGCAGCTCGGCCACGGGCCCGAAGCGCGCGAACAGCGCCCGCAGCTCCTCCTCCGTGGCCGAGTGCGGCAAGTTGCCCAGGAACAGCTGCTGCGCGTCCGAGTACCGTCGCCCGCCGTCCGCTGAAACCAACCAACACGTTCTCATTCACATTTACACCAATATACAGAACAATGTCGACGAACATGAGGTTTATTTATTTATTTGAATGGATCTCCAACAGTTGTATATATTAAATTACATCTAACATTGATTGATGCTTAAAGCAACGTTAAATTTGTTTCACACCATTTTATAAGTCTGTCAAGATTCTCTTGCCGGTCTATTACGTCCAATTCATGCTTCATAACTTTAGTTATTTTTAAATCGTCTACGATCATTAATAAACAAAACAAAGAATACAGGCCCCAAATTTGATCCCTGCGAAACACCAAAAATAGCATTGAAAGAGTTCGAACACTCGCTATCAATTACTACTCTACCATTTCGATTAGAGAGATAGGATTTGCACCAGCTAAAAAATTTATCAGAAATGCCAAAGTTTTCTAACAAGTATATTATGGTCCACCCTACCAAATGCCTTAGCGAAATCAGTATAGATTACATCTACTTGTAGGATTTATTTTACAGGAAAGGGGGGCAAACGAGCATGCGGCTCACCTGATGGTATGTGACCACCGCCGGTCATGAACAACTGCAATAATAGGGGAATTGCAGGTGCGTTGCCGGCCTTTTAGAAAGAGGTAAGCACTTTTCTTAAAGGTCCCTAAGCTGACTTGGGGAGAAAGAAATGGGAACAGTATTCCATGTGAGGCCGAACCTGCGCCTTGTAAAGTTGCAGGCGGTGTGCCGGCATTAAATACTGTTCCGCTCTGCTGAGCACGCCAAGCTTTTTAGAGGCCAATTTGGCCTTCTCTTCCAAGTGACCACGAACACGACCACGATATGTCGACGTCGAGAATTTCGATACTGGCTGAGACAACAAGGGGAGTGCCATGAAACTGAGGAGATAGGACAAAGGGGTACTTTTTAGCGGTGAACGCGCAAACTTGTGTCTTCTGAGGATTAAACTGGACTAGATTTAGTCATCCCCAATCCGAGACTCTTCAGCAAAGACTCGACTTCAGACACAAGCCTGTTCCGATACTCGGCGACGCCTTCCCGAGAAATAATGGCACGGCCGGTGTATAGAGCATTACCAGCACTGTCATCCGCATAGCAATTAATGTTACCGGATTGCAACATATCATTGATATGCAGAAGAAACAGCGTTGGTGATAGCACGCAGCCTTATAGAACACCAGCGTTAATAGGCTTGTAATGGGAGTATGCACCGTCTACTACGACCTTGATACTCCGATCAGCAAGAAAACTGGTGATCTAATTGCACAATTTCTCGGTAAACCCATAGGAAGGAAGCTTCGAAAGAAGCGCTTTGTACCAGATCCGATCGAAGGCCTTCGCAATGTCCCAAACTAACGGCCAATGCTTCCTTGGACTCGATCGCCTGCGCTCATCTCTGTGTTAGGTAAACAAGAAGATCACCAGCTGAGCGACCCCGACGGAAACCGTACTGGCGGTCACTAATTAGCTAGTGCTGGGTCCCATATATACATACGGACGCTGTCTCGTATGTATATGTGGGACGGTCTACGTAAAATTCCAGGGTCGTGGAAGTAAATTTTTTGATACTCCATCAAGCAAATAGGCAGAAAACAACCTGGAAGTCATGGGTACCGCGGCTATAGCTACCGGTACAGCGGGATCACTGGATACCAAGTTCAGTAACAAAACGGCCTGCACAACTGAGCCGAAGCCTCCAGTAGAGATCGGGCTCAGCGGCAGCTCACTGAGTGACGAAGAGGACTGCATTTGGCCTTTTAATTCCGAATCGGTGTCTGACGTTGAGACCCGGGGGATCTGGTAGGCTTATTTTTGGGCGGGGACGGGGAGGATGCGATCAATGATGGCGTGCCCTTTGTCCAGAACTAGCCTATCGCAGGCCAACCTCTACCACAGCGAAACTATGTCGGCTCAATTACGCAAGTGGTTGAGTAAATTAAAAGGACGGCCATAGCCTTAATACAGGAACCGTGGGTTGGGGCTGGTAAAATCAAAGGCCTAAACAACCTAAAAGGTAAGCTATTCTACAGCTCTGAACACGACAAGCCTAGAGCGTGTATTTAATACTATTAAAGATATCTTTACACAACCATTAATAGAAACAGAAACAGAAACTTTTTTATTCAATATAGATTATAAATAATACTTATTGAAAGTCACTCTTTTGTTTGATTACCACTGGTTCGGAAAAAACCTCTGTCCTGGGAAAAACCAGCAAGAAACCCAGCGGGACTTTTTTTTTTAAATAACAGCTTACAATCATGATGTTACACAAATTAACAACACAACAAATTAGAAATAGCTTGGTAGCGATCACCTCATTTCCAGGGGTTATGATCATCCATAAATTCCTTAATATTATAATAACCCTTTTTATACAAACTTAGTTTAATAAAGTTTTTGAACTTTGAACAGGTCAAACTTTGTATATTTTCTGGAATTTTGTTGTAAAAGCGTATACATCGCCCCAAGAATGAATTACTGACTCGATGGAGTCGAGTAACTGGTACTACTAGCTTGTGTCTGTTCCTAGTATTTACAGAATGAATATCACTTATTTTTGTAAAACTACTTTTATTTTTGTGTACGTACATTACATTTTCATAAATGTATTGAGAGGCCAAAGTTAATATATTAATTTCCTTAAATTTTTTTTTTATTGGCTTTAAATCATAAATTGCTCTTATGGCCCTCTTCTGCAAAACAAATATAATTTCAGTGTCAGCTGCGTGTCCCCATAGCAAAATACCATACGACATTATGCTATGGAAGTAGCTGAAGTAAACTAGTCTAGCTGTTTCAACACTGGTTAGACTTCTAATCTTTTTTACAGCATATGCTGCAGAACTAAGTCTGCTTGCTAGTTTTGATATATGGGGGCTCCATTGAAGCTTCGCGTCTAGTGTGATTCCAAGAAAAATGGTGGTATCTACAAGACTCAGTTTCTCCCCATTTAAAATTACATTAGTATTTAATTGTTTGACATTTGGAGTCACGAATTTCATACATTTTGTTTTAGTGCCATTTAAATGCAAATAATTAACATCGAACCAATTTACTAATTTAGATATAGCATTATTTACTTCGTCATATTTTAGTAACTGTCGACTTAATTTGAAATAGATTTCTGTTCCAGAGACATGTACGCCGTAGGCCGTAGCAATACAAAATACACAGGAGGGAAGATTAGTCGTCGACACCCAAACCAAGTAAGAGCGATTACGGACCCAAAATCCTATAAACCCATTAGCCTCACATCCTTTATACTAAAGACGATAGAGAAGGTGTATGAAAAGGATTTAAGGCAATCGGCGCTACTGAGCTTACCAACTACACAATAAAAAACACGCCTATAGCTTAGGCAAATCGACAGAATCGGCACTTCACCAGGTAGTAGGAAAGATTGAAGGGGCCATCCAATACAAAGAAATATGTATCTAGGATCCTTCATAGATATAGAAGGTGCTTTTGACAGAACGAACTTCTCCAGCATAATAGTTGGGCTCAATAGATAGAGTTGTACTGACACTGATTGACTGGATAGTAAACATGCTCTGTTCATGAACAATAAAGATTGCTGGTGAATCTCAAGCAGTCCATATAAGGATGGGCTGCCTGCAGGGTGGGGTTCTTTCACCTCTCCTGTGGAATATGGTCATAAATGAACTAATCAGCAAATTAAATGCCAACCACTTCTATACAATTTTTTATGCAGATGACCTGACAATACTGGTCTCAAGAAAAACAGCAAGCATAGTGTGCTACCTGACTCAAGCGGCTCTCCGTATAGTGCAGAGATGGTGCAAATAAGACGACTTAACCGTTGATTCAAATAAAACGGTTTTAGTAATGTTCACACTAAAACGAATGCTGAATAATTATCACCTACCAAGTGTCTTCAGCACAAAACTCCAGCTATCCTCTGAGGTAAAATACTTAGGCCTTACCTTGGATAGTAAACTGAACTGGAATAAACACGTATAACTTTCTGGCAATGCAGAAACATGATTAGAAGATGAGGTCTGACGCCAAAAATCATACTGTGGCTGTACAAAGCTGTAATTCCGCCCATAATCAAATACGCCTCTCTGGTATGGTGGACCAAAACAAATGAAGCAACTAACTATAAAGACATTTCAGCGTTACCAGAGACTGGCATGTATGGCTGCCAGAGGCTGCATAAGGACTACACCAACAGCAGCCTTAGAGGCGATGCTGGGGCTAAGCCCGCTTCATCTACACACACAATAAGAAGCGACTTTAGCTGCCAATAGACTCAAGACCCTAAATCTTGGAGTAAGAGTAGAGTCCCTCACGCAGGTATAATTGATAGAATTTGCTCAAAAATTCCTATCTTATAAGCCAAGTATGATAAGATCCCAAACAATTTGTATTCGATAAGAAGTATAAGATAAAATTAAATGAAACCAGCCAGCCGGAGGGATTAAGCCCAAGGGAGCTTAGAATTTTCACATACGGTTCTAAAACAAATGGAGGTGTGGAATCTACAACTTTCTCTGAAGACCTCAATCTTTCAGGCAGAATGTATGGAGTATCATCCAAGCGACCATAGTAATAGATGCTGGGAAGGTAAAAGACTTCTCCATCAGAGTACTGACCAATAGCATGGCGGTACTACAAGTTCTGAGTAGCAATGTAATGAACTCGGCACTAATATAAACCCAACAATGTGACTCTGCAATGGATAAAGGGACACAGTGCATTCAGAGGCAACGATGCAGCTGATGAACTGGCCAGAAGAGGATTGACTCTGGCCACTATAGGGCTGGAACCAATCATACTACAATCCTTTGGTAACATTAGTTCACTGGTACAAAGAAACTCCAACACCTTCAGCTTTGGAAAAATCTAGTATACTGTAGATAAGCTAGGGAGGCCTTACCTGAAATAAACAGTGCCTTAACCAACGTTCTAATGAGATTGAACAAGCCACAAATCAGGATAGTAACAAATGCTATCACAGTACATAGCTCTTTTAACAAACATTTGTTTACTATTAGGTGTTACACATAATGCCCTGTGCAGGGCATGTATAGGAGAGGAAGAAACGACGGCCCGTGTTGCTGACATGTCCGGAGGTCGCTGTATACAGGCCTAAACAGGCTCGTCGGAATCACTCCCCAAAGTTGCTTGCTACATCAAAAGACTGTTGAACTTCTTCGGGGAGGTTTCATGGCCACACGCTAGATATGTGCTTAGACGTGGAGTTGCGGATAACGACTCGTCGTAAACTAAAGTTGAGTTTGGTTACCTGGCGGCTGCTGCTGCACGCGTGGCGGGCGCGGGCGCTGTTCCTGCGGGGCGGGCGCGGGAGCGGGCGCGGAGGCGGGCGGCGCAGCGGGCGCGGCGGCGGGCGCGGGCGCGGGGGCGGGCGGGGAGCTGCGCGTCATCGTCGAGCCCGCGCCCGACCCGGACTTCAGCAGATTCGCGTAGGTTTTTGGCTCCGGCGCCACTGTTGTAAGACAATCAGAAAAATACAAAAATAATTAATAACAATTAAAAGCAACAGTTCAAAGAACTAAAAAAAAATAATGACTTCAAAAGACCATCATCATCATTACAACCCTACACAAGTCCACTGCTGAACATTGGCCCCCCGAAGGAATGCCACAAAGCACTGTCCTGCGCGACCTGCATCAATCGACTTTCTGCATGTCTTACCAGGTCGTCATTCCATCTTGTGGGTGCCACTTGAGTACCTTTTTTCCCCCATCAGTTGTCAGTCTTCGAGCTATATGGCCGGACCATTACCACTTCAGCTTACTAATCCGGCAGAAGACGGTGCAAGGACATATTAAGCCTCACATTTCTGAAGATATTATTTAATTCTTTTTCTATGAAGCCAATTTTTGCTTTTAATTAAACATTTCTTGAACATTTTGAGTAGTCTAAGAAATATATTATATCCATATCCATCTATTACAGTCTATAAAAGTCCACCGTTGCACATATACCTCTCTCATATATTACTTCATTGGGGAATTGTGCCATAGTTGCCACGCTTGGCAAGCGGGTCGACAATCGCAGTTTTTAATTATTTTGAGTTATTATCAGGAAGATGTCGCTACCCATCTCCTGTTTCATTTTTCCTCTGTCGTCTTTTACGACTCACTCGGAACGATATGCGGTAGTGGATGTTCTTACACCGCCACTACACGGTTATCAATAAAAAATATTACAAGCTGTAATAGAATAGATTAAAATGGTTATTTCTTATATATTTTATATGCATTTTGTATCTGAGACTTTGCATTTTAATATTTGAATACTGTTAGCCAAAGATCCTAATCTCAGATGCTGCATAAGGTCTTCGATGATAAATATATTGATTTAAATGAAGTAATAGTTTTATATTTGCATATAATTTAAGAACATAATGATGAAACAAAATTTATATGTTGAAAGATGAATGCTAGATGCTAAATGCTATATAACTCATGTGTAATGTTAAATTATAGTATTGCATGATGAAATCTTGAACCTATATGACCAATTGTTCGTCCATTCAAAATTCAAGTTTTTGATGGGATCGGGCTATTTGTCAATGTTGCGTTTCGATTCACGGTAGAACGCAACAAGTATTCATAAAGAAATTAGTTCTACAAGGAGCAACACTGCCAGACTTTGTATTTTTAAACAAGAGGTGTTTTTACGTTGTAGAACCACGTTGCAACTATATTCCGGGTGTGGCACGAATGTCTCGGGTCGACCTGAGAAATACCACACTCTCACAGAATACTAAGAGGTAAAAAATTCAGGCGGTTTGCCCAAAATATCTATATGTGTGGTAGTTTGCTTGTACTATAGCTATATTAATATGTAGTGTGGGTAGTGTGTGTAGTGCGGGTACCGTGGTGCGGCGGCGGCGTGGGCTCGCGCTCGGGCTCGGCCGGCGGCGCCTCCGCCTCCGCCTCCGCTTCCGGCTCCCGCTCCAGCCCGCCCGATATTGAGCTCGCTGCAACCACATACACTATTGTTAGTAGCTTGTAAAAGAAATCAAATAATGTTTATTCTGTAACAATAAATTACATCATTAGCATTCGAACTCGCTCTTCCTTAATTAACATACAATACTTGTAGTTACAAGAATAACATAACATTCCTTTCCTTTTCATATACTAATTATAAAAATCTGTGTCTGTCTCTCTTTTTTTTTTATAGGAGAGGGGGCAAACGAGCATGCGGCTCACCTGATGGTAAGTGACTACCGCCGCCCATGAACAACCGCAACACCAGGGGAATTGCAGATGCGTTGCCGGCCTTTTAAAAAGGAGTAGGCTCTTTTCTTGAAGGTCCCTAAGTCGTATCGGTCCGGAAAAATCGCTGATGGTAATCGATTCCACAAGGAAGTCGTGCGAGGAAGAAAACATCTTCTAAATCGCACAGTGGTGGACCGCCAATCATCCAGATGATGTGGATGGTATCGGGAGTTCTGCCGCGATGTGCGTTCATGAAATTTGGCGGCTGGGATTAATCCGAACAATTCCTCAGAGCACTCCCCATGGTAGATGCGAAAGAAAATGCAAAGAGATGCAACATCTCTTCGCAGTGCCAATGAATCGAACCGATCGGAAAGGGGTCGGTCGTCGACGATTCGAGCCGCTCTGCGCTGGATGCGGTCAAGTGGAAGGAGCTGGCACTGGGGAGCCCCTGGCCAGAGATGGGAACAGTATTCCATGTGAGGCCGAACCTGCGCCTTGTAAAGTTGCAGGCGGTGTGCCGGCATGAAATACTGTCCCGCTCTGCTGAGCACGCCAAGCTTTTTACAGGCCAATTTGGCCTTCTCTTCCAAGTGACCACGAAACTGCACGTCACTCGATATGTCGACTCCGAGGATACCGATACTGGCTGAGGCAAGATGGGGAGTGCCTTGAAACTGAGGAGATACGACAAAGGGGTTCTTTTTAGCGGTGAACGTGCAAACTTGTGTCTTCTGAGGATTAAACTGGACTAGATTTAGTCGCCCCCAATCCGAGACTTTGTCCAGCAAAGACTCGACTTCAAACACAAGTTTGTTCCGGTACTCGGCGACGTTTTCCCGAGAAATATTGGCCCGGCCGGTGTATAGAGCATCACCAGTGCTGACATCCGCATAGCAATAAATGTTACCAGTTAGCAACATATCATTGATATGCAGAAGAAACAGCGTTGGTGATAGCACACAGCCTTGTGGAACACCAGCGTTAATAGGCTTGTAGTCAGAACATGCACCGTCTACAACGACCTTGATGCTCCGATCTGCAAGAAAGCTGGTGATCCAATTGCACAATTTCTCGGGAAGCCCATAGGAAGGGAGCTTCGAAAGAAGCACTTTGTGCCAAACCCGATCGAAGGCCTTCGCAATGTCCAGACTAACGGCTAACGCCTCCCCCTTGGACTCAACTGCCTCCGCCCATCTATGGGTAAGGTAGACCAGAAGATCACCAGCTGATCGACACCGACGAAAACCGTATTGGCGGTCACTAATCAGCTGGTGATCCTCAAGGTACCGGATGAGCTGGCAGTTAATAATAGATTCCATTATTTTGGAGAACAAGGAGGTGATCGCGATAGGCCTATAGTTGGACGGGTCTGAGCGGTCGCCTTTTTTAGGGATCGGGTGGACAAAAGCTGTCTTCATGAATTCGGAACTACGCCTTGGGAGTAGGAGTACCGGAAAAGACGCGTTAGGACCGGTGCCAACTCCGGAGCACACGTCCTCAGCACAATTGGGGGGATTCCGTCAGGCCCACTCGACTTCTGGATGTCCAGGGAGAGAAGTGCTTTGCGAACTGAGCGCTGTGAGAATAGCACATCCGGCATGGAGCACTCACACCACGGGATGGTCGGGGGTATTTTCCCCCGTCATCAAGAGTCGAGTTGGACGCAAAAAGGGAGCCTAAAAGGTCGGCTTTATCTTTTGCGTCTTGGGCCAGTGAATCGTCCTCCCTGTGCAGAGATGGTAGTGATGGCTTACAGAAATTCCCTTGGACAGCCTTGGCAAGAGACCAGAATGCACGGGTTCCCGAAGGAAGGCGAACTAGTTTCTCGCCAATTCTGCCTATGTGCTCTGACTTTGCCTTGGCAATAGCTCTTTTGAAGGACCTGGAGGCGAAGTTATACTTCTTTTTAAGTAGGCTGGTGTTTACATCCCGAGTCACCGAAGCCGCAGCCCAGGCTTGATAACACTCCTGCTTACTGCGCAATGCAGTCTTACAGGAGCGACCAAACCAAGGCTGAGATCTGCCTCCGATGGGTACCACAGATGATGGAATAAATAGTTCCATTCCCTGTAGCACCACATCAGTGACAGACTCAGCAACGGCGTTGGGATCATCCGGCGAGAAGCAAACCTGCCCCATGGGTAGGATGCAAAGAAAGACCGCATTCCGTCCCAATCCGCCGACCTGTAATGCCAAACACGGCGGCAACCTGCAGAAAGCAACCGCGAAGGGAGCGTGAGTGGCACCATACTCCGAATCAGACAATGGTCCGAAGAGCCGAGAGGGGCATCGACGGAAACCTGATATCCGTCCGGATGAGAGGTCAGCAGAAGGTCCAACAGGGAAGGTGTATGATCCTCCACATCTGGAATCCGCGTAGGCGAAGTAACCAGTTGTGTCAGACCATATGCCAAGGCAAAGTCATAAACAGATCTCCCCGCATGATCGGTTAAACGTGAACCGAGCCATTCGGCATGGTGGGCGTTAAAATCGCCAAGGATCACGATCTCTGCGGATGGGACCTGTTGTAGCATGGAATCTGTAGCCATTTGGACGTGGTCGATGAGTCGGTCTGTTTCGGCATTACCGCTATGGGACCTATAGAGGCACCCGTAGACGCGCGGATGGTCGTCGCTGTCTACGCGTAGCCAAAGGATGGACAGGTCCAAACCTTCAAGACTGCCGAGGCGTCGAGAACAGATGTCCTCTCTGACATACACGCAAACTCCAGCCCGAGGTACAAAGGAGTGCTCCAATTTGTACCCCGGGTAGGAGAGATATGAAATATCAGCCGGAGAGGAAACCTGCGTCTCGGTCAGAAAGAGCAAGGCCGGCTTCGCCGTCTCGAGATGGTAGTGGACGGCGTTTAGGTTAGAGTGAAGTCCCCTGATGTTGCAGAAATTCACGGATAGCGTGGCAGGGGTCGCCTTGGTATTGTTGCTCAGTTTGCCCCTAGCAGTTTTGTTTTTGAGCGGAATTTTGCCCCCCCCCCCCCCAGAATACGCGGGGCAGCCTGAGCACCCACGCTCAGGATTGGAATAACATGGTCGTGGATGCTCAGCGAGGGATTCTCCAGGGGTACTGGTACCCTCCTGGGGTAGTCTATTGTCTAATTCCGCTACCATGTTGATGGGGGGGGGGGGGGGGAATTGGGCCTCCGGCCACCTGCACTCACCAGACGAAACGCAGAAGCAGAGCCTCTACTTCACGCCGGTATTCTGTGAGGTCGTGGTACCAACCCGGCTCGAGCCGGCCCATACGTGCAACAGCAAAAACTGCTGCGGGGCTCTACCACCGTTAAACTCTCTCTTCTTCTCTCTCTCTCTTACTGTGTGTTTGTGTGTGTGTGTGCGTGCGTGTGTGTGCGAGCGTGTGGATGCGTGCGTGCGTGTGGGTGCGTGCGTGTGGGGGCGTTCGTGTGGGTATGTGCGTGCGTGTGGGTGCGTGGATGTGGATGGGTGCGTGCGAGTGGGTGCGTGCGTATGGGTGCGTGCGTGTGATTTGTAGATAGATAGATAGATAATTCTTTATTGTACACCAAATCAATACATAAACGAAAGAAAAACAAAAACAAAATAGTGACACAATGGGCGATCTTATCGCTAAAAGTGGATTTTTTTTCCAGACAACCTTTGGATGGACAGGATTACAAAAAGCAGAACATTGTGTTTGGTGATGCAGAAATAATATTTATAAAGATTTCCATATAATATATAGAAATAAAAATAAATTTGATTAAGATTTGTAGGCCGTGTTATTTTAACAAATTTTTGATTTCGTGATAATTTTTCCACTTGAGCCATTCAATAATTTCTTACATTCTTTGTAATTGTACAAATATGAAAAGACCTTTTTACCTGTTGCCGTCTAGCAAATGCTGTTTTAACCGGAGCACTTGGAGCTACGTTAGTTTTTAGCCTTTTATTTTCGAAATAAAGGTTTTATGCAAGGGACTTGTATAACTTAAGAACTATATTTAATATGTATTACTTGCGAACTGTAAGAATAAATCTTGTGTTAGGAATCGGTAAGGCTTAAAATTCATAACTTTCAGCAATGATCTTTGAGCTCTCCCTAAATCCAAAAACTTTGTTTTTTTTTTTATAGAGTAAGGGTGACAAACGAGCACACAGTCCACCTGATGTTAAGTGGTTGCTATGGCCCATAGACACATCTACATCTATCTTAGTTTTTGAATTAAAATGCAGATGCGTTGTCAGCCGTGAGGACAAAGATAGAATGTCTCTTTTCCAGTAAAAAAGGTCTCCAGTTCTCTACACTCACCATACGAAACAGATCAGCGTTAAGCTGCTATTTTACGCTGGTATTATGTGAGAGCGTGGTCCTTCCTCGGTGGCGCCGACCCATTCGTGCTACAACTTAATACCTATAAAAAATTGTTTTCGTAGCACCTCCCTATACAGTATACCAGAACTGACTGAACTAAAGAAACATACACTTATTTTAATATCTATGTTATCGTGAGATGTCTTAAAATTTTAAAAAACCATATGAATATTCTAATCCTTGTCATCAAAAGTTTGATATGTAGATGCCACGATAAACGCTAATCCAATATTATTCCAAGATATTTTGTGCTAGATACTTTGTTTATATATGGGCATGAGCAGTTAGTTATTATGGTCAATACAAGAATGTATTTTAATAATAACATTAGGTTTGCATTGCTTGCATGATTTCTATAGCGTTTATACGTGATCCCCGACGCTTAATTTTCTGGATCAGATTTTAATTTAATTGCATACTATTACGGTTCCCAATGCAACGACACCTTGTGTCATCCAGGGTTTTATTATGCGACTTGTTTTGGGGACTAATTTCACAGAGGTATTATTTTAAATATATGTTTGGATTTTATTTACAACATTTCAGTTAAAATATTAGAATCAGAACATAAAAGCAGATCTTGTAAATTTGTTTTTAAGGCTATTAATAGCATTTTCATAATTGACTGACCTTATGTATTTATTAGAAAATTGATTTAACTTAAGGAAAGTCATGTAATGATCTGTGATAGTTGTGTTTATCACTAAGATTTTTGCATTCTATTTATTTGTATCTATTTTTAACATACAGTGATCGAGACAGTTGTTACCTCTCGTAGGTATGGAGTGTCCTGGAAGCAAGCCGTGTGTACACAACATATTTAAATAGTGTAGTCTACTCATCCTTTCATGTGTACTTTCATTACATTTGTGTATTATATTAATGTTAATATCACCCGTCATAACAATAAGCTTACACATTTTTGAGGACCCTAAGTGTTTAGGCCAAATAATTAACACTGAAAAATTTGCATTCACGACGCGCGCTCGACTCGTGCATCCGATGTTACCAAGGTCACCGTCGCCCCCCCGCTCCCGTTCGCATTCCATTCGAGGACGTGGCTGCCGTTTAGTAAGAAAAAACGTCGTGGCGCGACGGTTGGTCGCGCGCCTCCTACGGCGTTATCTTAATTTGTTTTTCGTGATAACGAGGCTGATTTCATATAATTATTGTTGTAACCATTTTGAGTATTGTTTGCGACCGCTGGGTTGGTTGCGCGCGGCCGGTGTAGATTTTCTGACGGTCTAAAGTTTGAGTAAATTGTGCGCGCCTAATTTACTATTGAATATTTGGGTCTCGTGTAGACCGCCTCGAAATGAGTGTCTGTTATTAGTGTTACGTGACAAGAGGCCTAATTTGAGTTTTGAGTGATTAAATTAACTGATTGCTAATAATTGTTGCGCGATGGACGGTATTGTAAAAGTCTAGAAAGAATTATTGCGCGGTGGCCGGGCGCGTGCCTCCTATGGAGTTGTTTAATTTGTACGTTTCGTTATAACGAAGGCTTGTCTTAAGTATGGAAAAGATTTTGTCGTGCGTCGGCTGTTTAATTGTTTTTGGAAGTTAATATTGACTTGTAACGTCGCGCTAAGTGCCTTTTTTGATTGCTTGTCTTGTATGCCTTTAATATCTTACGAAAGAATTTGGCTTTGTCGGGAGAACGCTGAACTTTGTGACTCGAGAAGTGACCGCGTTCGTTCTCGTGGTTGTAATTTTGTGCTAAGTGAACCCGGAACAGTGAATATTGAACTATGACCGACTGTTCTTTACTTGTGTCGTATTTCACTTGTTTAATTTCGATGAACTTTGATTTGGTTGACTTTGAAGTTAATTAAATATACAATTAAGTTGATAAACTAATATAGTGAAATAAAAGCAGAAGTTTTTAATTGGCCCCCCTGAAGGGATCTCACATTTGGAGAGAAGCAGCGCCTGTGGATCTGCAGTTCGACTTCCTCGGGGTTGTCAGGTTACACATTGTACACACTACTTACATGCACATCACTTACCACCTGATTGGTACCCTGTGATCAACCCTACCTCCAGAAATCGGTAAGTTGTGCTTGCTTATTTGTCAGCCGTTTTAGAACATTTATCCATAGGCCATTGGGCCCGAACCCTCGGCTGCCCGTCGAGGAGGCCACTATGGGCCCTAGCCAAGGCGACCTTTGCCGGGGCAGCTGGGGGCCGTAACACTAAGTAAAGACTAAGAGAGTTGATAAAACTTTCAACAAGGATGTTAGATGGTGAGCGATAAATACCAATAACAACGTAGTCATTAAATTGAATTTGCAGACAAGACGCTTCTAATAGCCAAAATTTCTTGACACTCACTGAATCCTAATTATTAATATAAGCAGTCACACCTTCACAGTGTGTGTGTTGTGTTGTATTATAGGACGTATAATTATTTAACATGGGAACAGGTTTGTTCTTGTCTAACCAACACTCGCTAAGAATAATAAAATCAGGCGTTATTTTAAGTTGAGTAAGATTTAAGAATAAGTCATCAAAATTTCTGTAAATACTCCGAATATTATAATAGTTATATCGGATTTATGTATTATGTGCTGTGTTATAAAGTCTTGGATACGACATTCACTAGATTGTGCAATAACTATTTTGTCTACTTCATGTAAATTATTTAGGGAACCATCCGTTATCAGTATTAAATTTAGATTATATTTATTTCGATTTATTCTCTTTAGATCTCCGAAAAACTACGCAATTTGACGCATCAACATATTGTGAAGCAGTATACAATAAAGGATAATTATTACTTGATACTGAGAATAAATGAAGATATAGCTCAAAGGACAAGCATCCAAACCAAAAATCATAATAAAAAAATATCAGCGCTGTAGGTTAACTTCCAGCATTAAGGCCTGTTTTCAGTTTGATTAGTGTGAGTACAGGTGATTAGTAGTTGCGGGAGATTTATGCAGGTGTGTAGTGTCCAATTCTGTGTAGTGGCTGTGTATAGTAAATTCAGTTAGTAGCCATCGACCAGCAAGTATGGACGCGAATATGCAGACCTCAAGATTATTAGAGATAGTAAACTTCTTTACTTCTAAACCCCGGTATGTTCATAGCTTCACTTATAAAGTAGAAATGCCGCATCTCAGGCTCCTTTGATTTTGCAGTTAGGATGTTTACTATTGTAATGACATTCATGTTTTAGTACTCCTGCACAAATTTATAGGTTATATTTTCGGTCCGCTTTGCCATTTTTTGTAACAGAAGCGAGCGGCCGACGCTAAATGCTGAACGCTAAACACTGCTGTCCAGACGTGTTTAGTGGCAGGCATGCTGCGAAGGGAGGGGCGCGGGGCATGGATACCCACATTCCACTAGCAAAAAATAGAACACGCTTCTAATCACTTTACTACACAGTTAAATAATCACTTGCACTAATCAATCGCTCTCCACACGTGTTTACTCCTAATCACTAAGCATCTGCACTAATCACTAATCAAAGTGAATACAGGCCTTTACACTGAGTCATAACCTTTTCACTGGCTCGATGCACATCACTTGTAGCCTTAATCTGCCATACGTTTAACTTTCCTTTTTATTTATGTCCGTCCAACTACAGGCCTATCGCCATCACCTCCTTGTTGTCGAAAATAATGGAATTTTTTCATTATTAACTGCCAGCTCATGCGGTACCTTGAGGAGCACCAGCTGATTATCGACCGCCAGTACGGTTTTCGTCGGGATCGCTCAGCTGGTGATCCTCTTGTTTACCTAGCACATAGATGGGTGCAGGCGATCGAGTCCAAGGGGGAGGAATTGGCTGTTAGTTTGGACATAGCGAAGGTCTTCGATCAGGTCTGGCACAAAGCACTTCTTTTCAAGCTTCCTTCCTATGGGCTTCCCGCGAAATTGTGCAATGGGGTCAAGAGTTTTCTGGCTGATTGGAGCATCAAGGTCATAGTAGACGATGCATGCTCCGATCACAAGCCTATTAACGCTGGTGTTCCAAAAGGCTGCATGCTATCACCAACGATGTTTTTTCGGCATATCAATGATATGTTGCAAACCGGTAACATTCATTGCTATGCGGATGACAGCACTGGTGATGCTCTATACACCGGCCGTGCCAATATTTCCCGGGAAAACGTCGCCGAGTACCGGAACAAACTTGTCTGAAGACTCGACGTCTTTGCTTGTTACCTCAGCCGGTATCGGGTTACCTCAGCCGGTATCGGAATCCTCGGCGTCGACATATCTAGTGACGTGCAGTTTCGTGGTCACTTGGAAGAGAAGGCCAAATTGGCCTAGAAAAAGCTTGGCGTGCTCAGCAGAGCGGGACAGTATTTTATACCAGCACATCGCCTGCAACTATACAAGGCGAAGGTTCGGCCTCACATGAAATAATGTTCCCATCTCTGGGCTGGGGCTCCCCAATGCTAGCTCCTTCCACTTGACTGCATCCTTCGCAGAACGGCTCGAATCGCCGACGATCGAGTCCTTTCCGATCAGTTCGATTCACTGGCTCTGCGTAGAGATGTTGGATCTCTTTGCGTATTTTATCCCATCTACCATGAGGAATGCTCTTAGGAATTGTTCGGACTGATTCCAGGCGCTCAATTTTACCGTCACATATCGCGACAAAACTCGCAATACCATCCATACCATTTGGATGATTGACGGTCCACCACTGTACGATTTAGAAGAAATTTTCTTCCTCGCACAGCTTCCTTGAGGAATCCATTACCACCAGCGATTTTTCCGGACCGTTACGACTTCGGGACCTTCAAGAAAAAATCCCTCCTTTTTAAAAGGCCGGCAAGGCATCTGCAATTCCTCTGGTGTTGCAGTTGTTTATGGGCGGCGGTAGTCACTTACCATCAGGTGAGCCGCATGCTCGTTTGCTCCCTCTCCTATAAATAAAATGTGATGTGTATAGTTCAGTGAATAAATGTGTGTTTTTTTTGTTTTTTCTATTGCAATGAAGATAGACTGACCTTGCATCGCCGCTACCAGGTGGCGTGTTTCGTCCATCGGTGCCGGAAGTCCGTTGACGTGTGGTACATGCGCAGGGGCGGGAACGGGCGCAGGGGCGGTGGGGGCGGGGGCAGGCGCGGGCGCGGGCGCAGGGGCGGGGGCGGGGGCGGGCGGCGACAGCATGGGCGCCAGCGGCGGCGCGGGCGGCGCGGGGAACGCGGCCGGGAAGGCGGTCGGCGGCGGCGGGAAGTACCCACCCGCCACTCCCCCCGCCTCCTCCTCCTCGCCCTCCGACCGCCCGGACCCCTCGCCCTCCTCGTCCGAGAACACTATGTCCTGTACACGAATATTTATTGTAGTCAATATTGAACTGAAAACTTCTTTATAATAATTTCTTATGTCTACGCGAACACTACACAATTTAAAATGAAAAAAAATGTGTATAGTTCACACGCGGCAGAAGTGATACCTTCAAATCAAATAGTGTAAAATATAGAATATTTCACGGCAAATTATTTATTTACTTATTATTTATGACCACAAGTACAAAATATAAGATAATAGTTTAATTTCATAGCAAATAAAAGTTAGAATCCTTATTTTAGACTAAATTTTAATATAATAAATCAAAAGAATATTTTCTATCGAGTAAATTAAGCCGTTGTTAAAAAATTAAATATGCATTATAAAACTTTCCAATATAATGGTACAAGAAGCGGAAAAATTTAGAACAAGAAAAGGCTATTCGTAGCAATATTTCCCTTAAATGATGAAAGGTATGTGGTGATTTCAACGTTAATAGTAATATGATATTTAACGCGAGTACATTTTTGGACTAGCCATCTACGTAGGACAGGTTTTTATAGTGTACGCTTTTGTACACAAATACAAACACACTATTTCCTAAATCTGATAGTTCGATGGTATGGCAATCTGAAACGAACTTAGAGACTACACAGTCAATTGTGACTGCTAATATTCTATTTGATGAATAAAAATGTGATTTTATTTATATTATTTTTTCAGATTTGCATCTGGGTGAAATAGCTGGCACATGCACCAATTGAAAATATTCACATGTTAAAACATATTTGTGGCAAACATTGCATTTGAACCCAACTAAAACAAACTGTTATTTCATTAGTGGACTTAATTTAAACTTCCACAATTAGAAACATTTATATGTAGCAAAACATAATATCCCTCTAAAGTCACATTTTGGTAAGAATTCGATTTTATAAATAAACTCAAAGTTATTAATTGTAATTACCTGGCTATAAATAATTTTTTTTATAGATTCATCTACAAACATCAGCTATAATGAGCACTCATTTTGAAAGCGACAATTAGTAAACGATCTCTGCGAATAGTATGTATATAGGTACCTCTGTGAAGAAGCCTACCGATTTGTACATAGTATTTGTTACACATAAAAGCAATTTAATCCAATCCGTGTTAAAAACCCAATATTTTTACCCTTTAATCTAACGTTGAAAACAAGCATCCAGACGCAGACTATTTATTTTACAGCATAGCAACACATTTTCAGTGCTGGAACGAAGCCTCGCTCCTGCAATGCCGCAGCCACACGCTTAGCCACTGCGCTACGGAGTTCTCATTTATTTTTTTACTTAATTAATTACTAGTACAATAGTGTGTTTTTATTTTATATTTTCTTTATACATATTTTTTTTCCTAATTGTAGAGATATAATTACAAATTGCTGTATGTAAAATACATTGATTTCTTATCTTCATCGGCATTTTTACTCAATCCCCACGTTAAAAAAATTTATTTCTCATAAATAATTCAGTATAGAGATCTAACTTTTATTATGTAAAAATATCGATAAAGGTTATATCATTTTATATATTTTCAAAAAAACCCAGTGAGGTCACATGTGACTTACGTGGCGCTGTAATACGAAAAAATATGCTTTCGTTATTATGGCGTCACATAGGTCACACCTCCGGTCACCCGCCCCTTCAGTCGCCTGCCAGCTTTTGCACGGAACGGTTGTGTCAGTGTGAATTTTTTTCGTTTTGTGTTGGTGCGGCTTTGTAAAGATAAATGAACAATGTATTTGCCGGATTTAGATATTGACATGGAAGATGTGAATATCTCACTAGAAGACTTACAGAACATAGATATACTTGAAGCTAGTTTTTTGAGTTAGACAAGGAATACTTTGACGCAGACAAATAAAAATCAGTCTCAATCAAGTTCAGATATTGAAAATGAGATTACCAATTCAATAACATGGCGCAAGCGTCGTTGTCGTGTCATTTCAAGTGACTGAAAGTGAAACGGATTTGGTCACCAATTTCGTTGCAGAAAATATAGCCACCGTTGAGCAGACTGCATGCACATATTATCTAAAATGGTCACAACCACGAGGATATCAACCGTCTGTTATAGAATTTAAGGAACCGACTGGTGAGTAATACATTTCCAAGCTACCCTTTTAACGTCATCCAGGTACTTGTATTGGCTCGCGTAATGGCCAGCCTCTTTCTCAGTCCTTATTTATATCAGTATATCAAACTAATGGTTCCAGATGAAATTTTTGAAAAAATAGCAGCTGAAACAAATATTTTTGCCCAACAACACCATCACAACGTAAGTTCTAAACCTAAATCTCGCTATAAAGATTGGAAGCCAACTTCAAAGAAAGAGCTAAAAGAATTCTTTGAACTTATACTTTATACGGTGTAACTGCCTCAAATAAATCTTTATTAGAGCATAGACAAGGCTTTCCTCTCTCTGTCATGAGCCGAAACAGATTTGAGTTAATATTGAGGATGTTTCACTTTACTAATAATGAGAGAGCCGACAAAACTGACAGAATTTTCAAAATACGAACCCCATAATAGATGCTCTGAATGAAACTTTTGCCAAACACTATAGCCCTAAAGAAAAGGTATGTGTTGATGAAAGCCAGGTTCCTTTTAGAGATCGCATTATTTACCGCCAGTACAATAAAAGTAAATGACACAAGTATAGCACGAAACTTTTTAAACTCTGCACCATACCTGGCTATACACGTAAATTACAATTATATGCCGGCGAAAATCACGAAACTGTCAACACAACACATAAATACGTAGTAATGTCTCTCTGTGACCACATACTCAACTTGGCTCACACAGTTGCAACTGACAACTGGTATACCAGTATTGACCTAGCCAATGAACTACTCAATAAAGACACACCTGGTTGGGATGCTGAAAAAAATAGAAGAGGTTTGCCGAAGAACCTGTTGGACGCCAAATTAAAGCCAAGGGAATCAATAGCTATGGAAAACTAGCGTGGGATATGTGTGCTAAAATGGAAGGATAAGTGGGATGTACAATAAAGATAAAGGTGCTGTTCATATGAGTGACCAAATGACTTCTTACTCATCGCCACTCCGCAAAATAGTTAAATGGTACAAAAAGCTGGCTATCGAATGTATTTTGAATACAGCCTTAGTAAATTCATGGGTTATGTATACAGAAAACAAGAATACCAAAGAAAGTATAGTGCAGTTTAGACTACAACTTGTAGAGTACCTTGTCGATTCAGATAAAGATCAAACTGAAGTTGCAGTTGAGAGGCCAAAAAGACTCAGACATGAATTGATAAAAATGTGGATTCAGTCAGAAAGATGAGACGCTACTGTGTGGCATGCTATAAAGAATGTGTTAAAACTTACACAATTGTTTACATAAAAACCTATGTAAACAAAACTGATTACATAAGTTTAATTGATAATACCATTTTTGATAATAAATAAATACAGTAATTATACACTTGGTTTTTTCATCATATTTTCAGAATCAATAAAAAACAAGTTAATTAGGCGCGATAGAATCCGTAAAAGTAGTTTTATTCAATGTGTAGTGTTCGCGTAAATATAAGAAATTATTATTTACAGATACCTATTTTGTATATCATAGTTACAAACAATTATAATGATCTTTATGAATCTCTGTCATAATATTATTTAGTAACTCAAAGGAGAAGGAGATGTCTTCATACATTCTTGGGCCCAAGTGTTAACAAGATGAAAGTAGAACCATTTGAAAGTGTATATATAAACAATTCATAGCTGAAAATGTACTCTTGACCCCCCCCCTCTTCGAGCAATTTGCTCACATGGTCTTCAAAAGTTAGTCTCGGTCTACCTCGACACCTTTTAATATTAACTTTCGCGCTATATATTTTCTTCACCATTCGGTCTTCACTCATTCGCTCAACGTGTCCAAACCACCGAAGCACGCCCTTATCAATTTTTGTGATAAGGTCATCTTTCAAACCTGCCATATTGCGAATCTCTTCGTTTCGCTTTCGGTCGGCCATAGTAACACCGCACATTTTACGATATAGATAATAAGTAAAAGTGAGATTATCTATTACCTACACTGTAACAGGTGATTTTTCACTATTATTACACAGTAACGGGCTATTTTTCACTATAATTACTTAAAGATATAAAAGCAGTATCAGTAAAAAAATCACCAAAAAAGCTGTGGTTAATAACTAAACGAAATGGTGAAACGATTAATGAAAGTTAAAACAACAATAGCTAAGTGAAGTGAATATGAGGGATACATTCTTCATGAAATATTAGTCTAACTTTAAGGTGTAGGTACATATAAAGCTATTAATAGTTTAATTACAAAAGGTAAAAGTTTAAAGTCAAAATATTCTAAAATAAATTCAATATATTTATTATGAATTAAGTGTTACATTTGGCGTTAATTTAAAGTATGATGTATCTCACAACTTAACCACCCTATTCGGTTATTACAATAATAGGTCTGTGACTTTCATAACTATATTGATCATAATTAATCAAAATTATAAAGGAAATTAAATTACATAACTAGCTAATTCTAAATAACAAATTATTCTGGTTGTAGCTAAATACTCTTTGAAACGCAAAGCGCGCACACAATGCACGAATCGCGCTTTTACCGTTTTGCTGGCTCACTTTATCCGTTCATGTACAGCAGCCCAAACTCGAGTTAGGGATATCCAACTCAAGTTAGGAACTCAAGTTAACACTAATCGATTTGAGATTGATTACTTGAATTGTTGTTGTAACTGTAACTTGTTGGAATTCTGATATTTTGTATTTTTTATTATTATTTTGTAGATATGTACGCAATTATTTTTTATCCTCCTAGTTAATACAGAAAAATAATCTAAAATAGATATTAAAATGCTCAATTTAATCGAGAATCGATTATATTGCGCTCGCGGAAGATAATGTTCAGAAACGAGAATTTCGATAGTGTATTCTTTATTTCTTATTTTATTGTTTTTTCGAAATCTAGATTGTAAAAAGAGCTACGTTTTTGTGTTTTACTTTAGAATAGAAAAATATGGCCAATTTTTTAAAATATAAACCAATTTGTTAACTTCAAGCCCAAAAATCCCATTCTCCTTTAAGGAACAATTGATCAGTTGATCTAACCAAATAAGTCTTTTATAATATACGTATTGTTATAATCTATATCAAAAGTGAATTAAATGGAGAGACATCATACACACCTGATAGCGAAATATGTCGTTGTGTACATAGTACTTCTTAGGTGACTGCGCAGCAAGAACAAAGGTCTGGGTAAAACGGCGCATGGGCGCCCCACCGTTGGACAGCTCGCCAGTCACCTGCACTACCACACCGTTGCCCAGCGTTGCTTGCGAGTCCACCTATAAAACATTCACGACTAAGTTAATATGAGGTAGAGTAAATGGGTCAGCTCCACCGGGGTAGGACCACACTCTCACAGAATACCAGTGTAAAATAGCAGCTTAATACTGCTATGTTTCGTATGGTGAATGTAGAAAACCGAAGACTATTTTTACTCGAAAAAAATTTCATGTTTAATGGGTGATAACGCATCTGCATTTTGATTCTTAATTGAGGATAAATGTTAAAAAAAGTCAAAAGGAGGAGATTTTACTGCTGTCCATCGTCCCCTTAAAATCTTCCTTTAGTCGCCTTTTACAATAACAACAGGAATAAATGGGTTATCCTATTCGTTAAGACTTTATTGATAAGTTATCTACACTTATACCTGGAGAATATCGATTTTTGCGGATTTTTAATAAATATATCGGTTGTTACAATATCGTTAAATAATACCAGCAACCGGCCCTGGTTCGGCCCTGGCCCAGGTTATGCCGCAGATGTTGCTTATCAATATTACGGCGCGAGATGGACAAGCTACGCATCAAATTTTGCATATGTATGTGTCAGTGAGACAACAGGTGACGGAACAAGATACTGTTTACGACTTGTAGCTTAGCAAAAAAAATAGATAAACAATCATGCCCATCTCTATATAGATATAACCATGTATTAATGTTTGGTCTGCTACTCTATTATATGTCCGTGGGCCCATAGACATCTACATCTATCCTCGATTACAAATTAAAACGCAGATGTGCCATGGTCTATCAAATTCATCGGTACGACTTTCCATTGACTCCCGGGGAGTTGGGGGTTGATACGTATTTTTACAGAAAAGTTACACTATTATAAGACATAAACAATGCAAGAATAATTGATTTTCAATAACTTTTTTCTCAAAAATTACGCGTTTCCGCATGTTGTAACTTTGTGTGTGTGCTTATAATAGTGTAACGTTTCTGTAAAAATACGTATCAACCCCCAACTCAACGGGAGTCAATGGAAAGCTAAGCCAATTCATCGCACATGGTATATCAAATCTGATGTAATGGTAATCCTGTATGTGTTGTCAGGTTGCTGTAAAGTGCGCGAAAGGTCGGAAATATAAAATAACATAACGTACGGGATAAAATACATAAAAATTAGTTTCATTTAAATGTTTACGCAAACATAGGAAAACACAACTGTTACCATTACAGTCAACAGATGAACACAGGCCTCCCCATTGTCTCATATGGGAGATATTTGCCATAGTAGCCACGCTTGGCAAGAGGGTTGGCAACCACAGTTTTTATTTATGTTTAGTCGTAATTAGGAAGACGTTGCCGCTCATCCCCTGATTTGTTTCCCTCTGTCGTCTCTTACGACACCCATGGGATGGTAGATCACAATGTTTCAATTAAAATACCTGGCTGATCTTGGCATGGCAGTCGCGGAAGTTGAGTTGCTGAATGCGATTGTGTATTTGCTTCTGTCCAACGACTGGCAGTGTCTCGCGGTTGGGCGCGTCCAGACCGCCGTGCACGAACGACGAATAGTTGTTGTAAAATCTGCAAGTGACACATTGTTTTATTTGATTAGAACAAATTCTAATTATATAATAAATTAATAATGCTATCTCTATAAGAAATTAACAAGTGAGCCAAACGGATTAGTCAGCTAAAGTGGCAATAGACTGGCCAGAATGCTCGAAAAAAAACTCGAAGTACCGACAACCGGTGGGAAAGAAAGGTTCTCGAGTGGCAGCCTCGTACCAGTAAGCAAAGTGTAGAGTGACCCCGCAGCAGTCGGAGTGACGATCTGGTAAAATATGCAGGAAGTCAATGGATGCAGGTGGCTTAGGACCGTGCTTAGTGGCATTCCTTGGCAGAGCCCTTATGTTCAGCAGTGGATTTGTGAAGGCCTGTAATGATGATTATGAATACTAAATCAGGAAGTTATTTTTTTCAAATGTTACGAAACTAATGGGTCGACTCGACCGGAAAAGAACCACAATCACACACACAGAATACCAGCATTATATATCAGCATAATGCTGAATTTCCTACAGTGAGGAAAGAGAACCAGAGATCTTTTCACCATCTTTTCTTGTTACCAACAAGGCATTCCATCTCAATTGATTCTTAATCGAGGATAGATGTACATAGGTGACGATGGGTAAGCATTACTAGTACGAGTGGCACAAGACTTCTACAATTATGAAGACAAAATTAACAACACGCTCACTCTTTTAAGTCTATTTACACCTTAAAGGTCACAAAGGGCAAACATAATATATAATAATATGTACTTTCGCCTTTTTCGCAGTGCAATTCAGTTAAAAATCTACCATTGCCGCAATCAAGGCACCATGTAATTTTAATTTATTGTGTGATGATTGTTTAGTATTGTACACCAGAAACACGTCCCGGCTTCGCCTGGAACTTATTAACGTTCATCATTTAGGCTTCATTTAGATTTAAGGTAATCATCAAAAACTTTTTTATTTTATTTTACGATTTCTCAAAAAAAATCACTGTTTTTCGAATAAAATACAGCTTAGATCACTTCTAACAATGCTCTGTATCTGTTTAAGTTCCTTTACAATCAATTCAATAATTACAATAATTTGCCTAAACTGATAGACAAAATATTATAAAATGATTATTAAGGTCTTAGCATATAAGGTAATAGCATTCTAACAGACTCAATTTAATAAAAGGCAGTCATTTCAATATCACAGTGACACTTCAATTTTATTTATACATATATAAATAATATTATGTTTAGTGATGTTATTTGTTTGTCTTGTAGAGGATGTGGATATGATGACGTCATTTGGATAATGTACGCAAATGGAGCAACAATCTAAGTGATGCTTAAAGGTAATGAGATAATAGACGACTGCTTAAGTTTATAAACAAAATACCATTTCCTCACTCAATATCACAATTCTTAAGCATATACCTCACTGACAATTACTTCAAAATGATAAGAGGCACTCAATTCAACAGTCATATCTTCTTTTTTTTTATATTATGTATGTTATGGGATATATTCCTCAATTGTAAACTGATTTAAATGATTATTTTTTTATTAATTCGAATTTGGAATGATATTTTGTTAATTTTAGGTAAATTAAAAAGACACTATTTACACAACATTTAAGTTGTTCCATAGCTTGTGATAATTCCCAAAAGGATCAAAAAATTATAGGAACTGCTTATTATACACCGCACTGACACACTGACTTCAGTGTTACTCAATTTTTGTGTTTGATGATAATATTGATTTTGATATGTTAATTATTATAAAACAAACATTTCATTGAATAAACAAAAGAGAATGGGATTTTTGGGCCTGAAGTTAACTAATTCGTTTATAATTTAAAAAATTGGACATATTTTTCTAAAGTAAAATACAAAAAACAGCTATTTTTACAATCTAGAATTCGAAAAAACAATAATGTAAGCAATAAGTTAGAAAATCGATTGTAGTGTATTCTTTATGGCAATAAATCGATTACCATAAAGAATACGCTAGTGAAATTCTTGCTTCTAAACGTTATCTTCCAATAGAGGACTTTTCATTTTGAAATTTGACTTCACAGTTCAAACTTCAAACTATTTGCTTAAAAGAAAAAGACAGATTTTCGATTCGATTTGAAATGAGCGCAATATAACCGATTCTCGATTAAATTGAGTATTTTAGTATCTATATTTATTTTTCTGTGTTAATTAGGGAGATAAAAAATAATTGCATATATATGTACAAAATAATAATAAAAATATAAAATATCAACATTCCAACAAGTAACAGCTACAACAACAATTCAAGTAATCAATCTCAGATCAATATCCCTAATATTCACTTCACTTCACAAATTTTTCTAAAAGTTTTAATTTTGTTAATCGTTTCACCATTTCATTACATTACTAACCACAGCTTTTTTGGTGATTTTATATTAATCCTGCTTTTATATATTTTAGTAAATATAGGAAAAAAAAAGCCTATTACAGTGTAATAACAATGAAAAATCACCTGTTACAATGTAGGTAATAGATAATCTCACTTTTACTTACTGTACAATAACTCAGCTCCTAGATTAACAAAACAAATCTTGCCAGATTTTCAGATATGTATTGTTTATATATACGCTTTCAAATGGTTTTACTTTCATCTTGTTAACACTTGGGCTCAAGAATGTATGGAGACGTCTCCTTGTCCTTTGCATGTCTACATTAGGGCTAGGCTTCTAATATGTAATACTATATTTAATAGTATCTCATGTAACATATATACTAAAAGGCAAATAAATAAGCTGCTCGAACAGGATACAACCACACTCTCACAAAATACCAGCTTAATGCTGCTGTAATTCGTATGGTGAGGGCAGACAAGTCCATCATTTTGATTCTTAATTGGGTATAAATGTAGATGTCTATGGGCCATAGCATCCACTTACCGTCAGGTGGACTGTGTGTTCGTTTTTCACCCTTATCAAAAGTAAATATGTTTAATTAGTAGAAGTGATTCAAACCTATGCAGATAGGCCGGCGCCTTGTTGAGCAGCGTGTAGTACTGGCGGACGAATTCACGGCCAACGCTCTGCGGGGATGGGGACGCCTCCATTACCATCGCTGTTGTTAACAATGCGCTAATACAGCCCTCCGCTATACGCTGCCCTGTAAAACATTAACAATATAATAGAATCACTTTTATTTTTATCTATATAAATAAAATGATAGAGTAAAATTAAATTCTCTCAGGAATTATACTTATTATCAAACGTTCGTACAATATGACTCCAAAAAAAATTTTATCCAAAAATATCAGATTCCAAAAAACAAGTCACGGCTTAGCTTTCCATTGACGTCAGTGGAGTTTGGTGTTGGTACGTATTTTTATAGAAAGATTACACTATTATAAGCACACACACAAAGTCTCATTATACGGAAATGCGTAATTTTTGAGAAAAGAATAATTGAAAATCAATTATTCTTGCAATGTTTATGTCTAATCTGCTAATAAACTGGCGCCATTTTGAAATGTCATTGTCGACGTCAATAGGGATGTCGATTCTTTCCGAAAAAGGTCGATTTTTAAACCAATTCAAATGGTAAGCTGATGTATCGGTTCACAAAAAATCGATTTCTAAAATATCTATATTTTTTTAATGTTTCTATTTATAATGTAAATATAAACCCATTTTATGAAAAACAAGAAAGATACCATGATAAATGATCTCTTATTGAAATTTGTTTTATTTATCAGTACCTATTAGGGCAGATAACAAATAAAATAGGTTAGGTTCAACTTATGTCAAAGAACCGAATTGATTGACCCCTACTCCACCTGGTACGAGTCTGTCCTACCCCTAGAGTGGTTTTATAGAGCCGGAGGCGCGTAGGGGGAGCAGCCTCCGCCTGCTGTAACAAATCGTAGGCATCGGACGAGCCGGAGCGGCTTAGGCTGGTCGCCGAAGGCGACCAACAAGCCGAAGCTGCGGAGGCAAGGGGGGATTCCTGCGATTTGTTACGCTAAGGCGTAGAGGTTGCTCTTCCCGCAGCGCCGAAGACGTAGCAGTCTCAAAATAGATACAGAAATCCTTATGAATCAGTCCCCTTATTTTTTTATGATGAAGGGGATTTTTTTCTCATAAAATGGATATTTACATTATAAATGCAAACATGAAAAAAATATTGATATTTTAGAAATCGATTTTTTGGGAATCGATACATCCGCTTACGATTTGAATCGATTTAAAAATCGACCTTTTTCGGAAAGAATCGACATCCCTATTGACGTCGACAATGACATTACAAAATGGCGCCAGTTTATTAGCAGATTAGACATAAACATTGCAAGAATAATTGATTTTCAATTATTCTTTTCTCAAAAATTACGCGTTTCCGTATATTGAGACTTTGTGTGTGTGCTTATAATAGTGTAATCTTTCTGTAAAAATACGTATCAACACCAAACTCCACTGACGTCAATGGAAAGTCGTACCCAAGTCACATATAATTGAAATTGAAAATTTTAACAAACCCAAAAAAAAAGCCCTACCGCAGCTAATAAAACAGCTGATGACCTTGAAACTGCTGAACCGATTTTGATAAAACATGTCTAAGAACCATCACTAGAAAACTGGCTTTTAAATTTAAAAAAACCACACCCAAATTGGTCCACCTGTTTAAGAGCTACGGTGCCACAGACAGACACAGACACACACACACACATAGCAGTCAAACTTATAACGCCTCGCTTTATGTTGGGGGTAGATAAATAGGTTTTATTGTAAATCGATAAAACAATGATTTTATGTAAAAAATACTGCAATCAAACATTTTTCGACTAAGGCTTTGACCACACGGTATGTAACTCCTCAAACAAAACACTTTATTAGTTTATAATAATAATTTTTGTCCAATTGTTTGCCTGTATGGACTAAAATACTAAAGAACAAAAAATAAAAGCTAAAAAATTTGACGCCATGGAGGATTGGGTTTGGCGCACTGGGTTGGTAGACCTGCGTTCTAGCCATTGGGCTATTGAAAAGATGTGACAGAATTTCCAATCATATTGCACAGGCAAGTAAAGTTTGTTGCTTTGTGTATAACTAATACAATTAAACAAAACTTAACAAGTTAGTATTTCTTTTGAAAATAGAACTATTAAAGATAAAGATAATTATTTTGGAAAACATAAGTAAAAATATAAAGGTGTTAAAAACCTAAAACAAGCTACATGTTTTGCCATTTATGGCGTACAAAAATTATACTACATATTTCATTAATTATACAAGATAAAAACTAACCCTACGGACCTAATTCTAGATGTGCAACAATTTCATTGGCATGTCCTAAGATAGCATTAGAGAAATGTCACAATTCAATACATAGCTTAAAAAAATCAATCATTTAAGAAATCAGGCAAGCTGTAATAACATTTAGCTATCACATACTTTTTAAGACGTAGCTTAAAAAGTGTAGTAGGCAATGGTTTGATGGTTTTGGGGATTTTATTATATATTATTGGCGCCAGACAGAAAATACTTTTATGCATCAATGCCGTTCTTGATCTAATTGCATATAACCTGTTATTATCCCGGCGATTGCGAATTGTAACATCTGATAGTTTGTTAAACAATTTACATATTTATTAATTTAAAGGGTTATTTTGAACGAAGTTTGCTACTTCATATATAAATAAAGAGGGCAAGCTTAAAATTTTGTACTCAATAAAATATGGTCTGCAGCTATCAGTAATTTTAAGACCAAACATAGCCCTGATGCACCTTTTTTGGGACTTAAATATAATTTCCTTATTAGTAGAATTACCAAACCTCAAGATGGAATCAACAATACCGTGGTAAGCCGTGAGAAGCGCATCAATATTTACGACGGATGCGAGTTTATAGAGTGCATAAGCAGAAGAACTAATTCTCTTGTTTAGTTCTTCTGTATGTGCTTTCCAGTTCAGACTTTTATCAATAGTTACACTAAGAAATTTTGTTGTGTCTACTTGGTCTATTTCTGTCTCTTGGTAATTAACGTTAATATTTGATGTTGCTAAGCGTTGACTGAATTACATAATTTTTGTTATTGTTCAATGTGAAAACATAAAAATGGAATACATAATTTATTTAGTTTAATATTTTATTTAATTTTTAATTAATTAACCAACAAACAGCTCGTATGTAGATATTAGAAAACCTCATAAAATGTACATAGCTTTAGCACAATCAATAATTTCCTATTTCATCCCAATCTGGGCAGGAGCCAACAAGACCAACTTTTTAGATCTGGAAAGAGCACAGAGATCTCTTATAAAGGTCATGTATTTCAATTTCTTTTTTTTTCGAACCAGTGGTAAAGTATAGTAAAAAATTACTTTCAATAAGAATTACTCATGTGATCTATATTGAATAAAAGATTCTCTACTAATACCCTATATAAGATTAGCAAACTTCCTATCAGTTAGAAAGCTTTATGTTCTTAACTTTCCAAAATGTCATAAATCCCTACCGTTTAATGAATCCTTCAAAAAAAAGAGAAGAACCAATATTGTGGCCCCTATCCTATACCTCTTGTATGCACTGTCTTTGCTATTAAACAATACCCAGGTCAATCTTTTATATATAACAAATTAAATAAAATACTTAAAATATATCCTATGCAATTACGTTTATGCAAAATAACTTTAATGCATTGGTTGGATACAGTTACTTATGACGAGGTTGAAAATCTTTTAACTAGAATTGTCTGAAATCTCTCTCACCAACATTTTACATGACAGATAATAGTATGTCATCTTTCATATTTGATCAGTTTTATTATGCAAGGTATATACCCCCCCCCCCCCCCCCATATTCACATACTAATTACAAATTTTCTAGAGGTATATAGACTTTTTTAAATCTTACTGTCATCCTTAAGGGAAGAAGGTCATCCCCAACATGAGTATCCTCTGATTACTCACTGGAAAGTCTCAGCAATATGTAGTAAACAAGATTACCAAGATAAATGCATTATTTATTTATTTTATATAATTATTAGAAAACAGTAACTATTCTGCATTTTTTTAATGATTTATTTTACCTGTCTGCTTAAATTCAACCCTATGATGATAGACAAGTTCATATTTATGTTTAAGGTATACATCAAAAAAAGTATTAATTATACCCAACAACAAAAATAATTGAACACTATATATTTTTAATTATTTTTTTTATATTACTTATATTCCCATTTACCCCTCTAAGTAAGATTGGAATGCTTGCATTAAGAGTGGTTCACAGCAGTAGACAAATAGCAGATGAACCACACATTTCAAGTTAGCGGTTTGTACCCTTAACCATTAATACTGACACTTCACTATTATTTTGGTCAAAAACTGAAAACTAAATGAAAGCTCAGACCCAGCCAGTCATAGATATGCATATTTTATAACTATCTTCCTTGTTTTGTTGTTTTATTACAAGCAATTGTGAATAATGTATATAGATTAGATTAGATATATTCCAACAAACTTAGTACTGAGTCAATTACATAAAAGATGTTGTATTTAGAACCAAGCAAGTAGAGGGACTATTTGCAGATTAAACATAGTATTTAAAACAAAATTTACGAACGAAATCTTGCAAAATAGTACACAGCTCACAATACAGCTCTTTATAAACACAAGACTCCATATTCAAAAAGTATTAAATATGAAATATGCTATCTTCCAAAAGAGATGTGATTATTTATTTTATTAAAACTCAGCATGTCATGCACAGTGTTACAGATCATTGTTTTAGTACAATATCAAATAAATTACTACCAAATACCTGCCTAAAAGTACAGCTTGATTTAGCCTTACACTTTAAAGATAGTTATTTTAACTTTTTATACTGTTCAAATACCTATTTATTGTTAAAATATTTATGTGCAGTCGAATGAACAATCACAGCAATGTTTAGTACATGATCATACAAAAACTTCTTGACTAAGATGTTCCTCAGCTGCAAGTAAACAAACGGCGATCGTGGCTAATACCCAAAGTCGAAACTAGCCTTTTCTTTAATCAAAAAACGAACTGCGGACATCAGAGCGAAAAATAACCAGTAACGCGATTTGTCAGAGCACGCATGG